CGGTACTCTTCTGGTTATCTACATAAAATTTGTTACTTCATATAGATGATAAATAATAATAATAATAAAACAAACGATTAAAGAAATGATGAAGAAGTAAAAAGAAACAGTTAAAAATGAAGAATAAATAAATAAAAACAAATTAAATTTTAATTAAAAAATATTAATAATACGTAATAAAATCACATAAAAAAATCAAATTCATAGTCTTTATCTTAATAAAGTTTTTATTTTTGGTTGTTGCTTCTTTTCATTCCATTCCTCCTTAAGTTCTCTGCATTATTTCATTTGTTAAAGTTAATATTCCATTGTTGTAAAAAATTTATCTATGAATACACTCCTAAATCTTTTTATTTTTACTAAAACCGAAAACCGTCCGGATAGGGTTTTTGCTGATTAGGCGGATTTTGACAGATTTTTCTAGGTTTTAGCGGTTTAATAGGATTTAGGGTTTTAAATAAAACATTGTTTTTTAGTTAAGCAAATGCATTTTCAAGTTCAACTTTTATGACAGTAGTTTAGCAAAAAAAATTATGACAGTACTTCTTTCTTTTTTGCCTCTTCTTCCTCTTCCTTGGCATGTGAATATCTTGTCGGTTACTGTCCGGTTCAGTTTGTTGTACCGAAACCCAAAAAATCATTTATTTTGGAGTTGAGGATCTATTTCCCACTAGAATTCTAGTATCGTATACTGTCCAAACTAATATCTCTCTCCGAAAACAAAGTTAGTTACGTATATCTCGGAAAACATTGTTACAAACATCCGTTTTAGATGGTTTACTGATTATCTTAACCATTAAAATCAATAGTAAACCGGATTAAGACCCCGATTCACAACAACCAAAACCACAATTAAAAGAAAAGACCCAAATTAATACGAACCCAGAAACCAAAAGAAGAACAAAACACAACCTTCGAACCTAGCTCCACTCAGTTTCTCTAAATCCACCGTATAGCATTGCCTTGAAAAGTCTCGATTTTGTCATCGATGCAGAAGAACATGTCATAGTCTAATTCTTCCTTAGAGATTATCTGATCTTGAGCTATCATAGACGGATTCCGGGTCATACCCGAAAACAATCCATAGATGTTGTTCCGATTAGCTCGTCCTCTCTCCTCTCGAACCGGAGCCATGAATTGCGTGCTGCCTAGACGATCAGAGGTTCGTGATGTTCATTCTGGTTCTTCGTCATCCCGCACTGCTTTCGATTTTTCAGGTCGGTGCTAAACTCGATTCACTGGTAGTCACATCTTCCAAGTATTGCGATAAGCCTTTCGGCTTCTTATTATCTCGCGTTGCTTCGGATGCTGCTTCTTGTTGGTCGATCTTTCTTTAGTCAATATCAGTTCTTTAGGCAATCAAAATCCAGCTGTGTCTTCCCTTATTGATGTTGCTGTTCCAGTTCGTCCTCTGGTTATTGTTGACCCTGCATTTCAGCAGCCCTTACTCTTCCTTTGTTGCCTACGGTTCCTTGAGAACACGCTGCAGTTTGAGGCAATGTCATTGCCATTTCTGTTATCTTCGATTCTGCAATTAACGTTACAAGCTAAGCTTCATGGACAACAGCAAGAGGATGTAGAAGATGAAGATGTTTTGGAGAAGCTGAGCTTCTTCTTTGATTGTCAAATTCTTCTACAAGGACAAAGTCGAGACTATGGCTTTACTGATCAAATCATTGTGGTTGATTTTGGTTGGTTCTGGTCTATACTTGATCTCCTTTACTGTTCTTTACCGAGACCACCGGAGGTTCCTTGTGATTTTTGTTGATTTTCAAGAGATGTTCTAAGCAAGGGGGAGTTTTGTTTTCCTTGTGGATATAGAGCACTGCAGTTTATACTTCCCTGGTTTGCTTTGGTGCAACAAGTTCAGTCACAAGAAGGTGCTTCCATTTGTGTTTTTGTGTCAATCAATTCCAAGCACATGTAGCCTTCCTGGATTCCTCTTAATTACAGTGCAGCTAAAAGCCACTGGAGATGGAGATTTTGTTACACAATGGCCTGCGTTTATGTTGGTTACAAAGTCTCCCTACAAAAACAGAGCCGTTCCCAAGCAATGGAGTTGTTATTGTCCAAGAAAGGATTTCCATCTTGAGGGGGAGTATTAGAGTATGTATAGTTGGTTTGGTTTAATCTCTTGTATAGTTTGGTTAGTATGTTGGTTTAGAGACTTGTATATAAGCGTAAGCTTATCTTCTTGTAAATAAAGTTGAGTGTTAATACAGAGATATTTTCTCTTCTCCATCAAACATTCTCTCAACTTCCCATGGAGATTCTCAAATGCTAATACAAAATAATAATGAAAACTAGGATTCATCTTTAGTATGCAACAAGTGAATTACGTTGTTGGAATTGACGTTGCATAAGCTTGAATGCAATGCAAACAACTTGGAAAACAGTCGGGTCAAGTCAGTCTATCTGGTCGGGTTTTGTTGGAAGCAAATGTTAATTTGGGTTAGGATCAGGTTTGTGTTTGGTTTATAAACAATAACCGAAAAAATCAAATTTGTGTGTATTGC